GAAGAAAATACACGCAGCCAGGACTGGGACTTGAACCACAGTAGGCCATGTGGGAGTCCAGTGCCCTTAACTACCATGTCACCTGCCGGCCCTTTCATTTATTATTTTTAAAGAATCATTTTATTTCATTTTATTCATTGTCATTATTTTATTTTATTGAAGTTGACCAGAGAGACAGAAGGAAAATGTAAAAAGGAAGCCACTGGGTCTAGCATTTGAACTGTGGTCAGCCATGTGGGAGTCCAGCTGCCTTAACCACGATGCCACCTGCAGGCCCCCATCCATTTAGTTTTTAATCTGACCAGAGTGAGACAGAGACAGAGAGACAGAGAGAGAAAGGGAGAGAAAGGGAGAGTGAGAAAGCAAGGCACCAGGTTTGGGACTTGAACCCTGGTCAGTGACGTGAGAGTCTAGCGCCTTTTTTTTTTTTTTTTTTTTTTTTGAGAGGTTTTCCCTATAGGATAGGTGCGCTCGCCAGACAGACAGAGACATAGAGACAGAAAGCGAGAAATCACCCCCCGGGGGGATGGTCACGCCGCAGTCCCTTCTCCTCTCGGGATCTTGGGCACGCTCGCACACGCGCCCAGCATGAGTTTTAAGCCACCGGGTCCGGGACTCGAACCGCGGTCGACTACGTGGAAGCCCAGCGACATAGCCATTATGCTAGCTGCTGGTTCCCTCTAGCGCCTTCTTTGCCCCACTACTTGCCTCCCTCCCTACAACACTTTTGTAGTGTCAAAATACCGGATAGGCCCCCTCACTGCATTTCCAAGGATCCCATAGTGCCCCTGCTCCACGGATCCCTCGGGCACCCCATCACCCGCTCCGTCACCTGGTAGCTTCTCTGTGTCCCAAGAGTTTCACCTCTGAGGGTCCTCATTCCAACCCTGGGCTCACCATCACCCTGGTGACCTCTCGCAGCATCAGGCTGGCCCCTGCAAGTTCCCCAACCCCTTCACCTTGAACCCAAACGCTCCAGGCTGACACCCTCTCCTGTCCTGAGGTCCCCGCATCGCCACTGACCCCTGACCCCAGACCACATCTGTTCCCTTCCTGCCCCCTCCCCCAGGCAGTCCTCAGAGCGCGCAGGCCAGTTGGAAGCCACGCTGAGCAGCTGCCGGCGCCGCCTGGGCGAACTGAGAGAGCTGCGGAGGCAGGTGCGGCAGCTGGAGGAGCGCAACGCCGGCCACGCAGAGCGCACGCGGCAGCTGGAGGAAGAGCTTCGTCGTGCGGGCTCCCTGCGCACCCAGCTGGAGGCCCAGAGACGGCAGGTGCAGCCTTGCGCCTGCGGTGTGGGCTGGGGTTTTGGGACACAGGATTGGGATCCGTGTGTGGGGACGTGGGTTCTCTGGGTGATCCTCCTAGCACCATCCCCCTCATTTTGGCCTGCCCTTCTCATATATGTGTGTGTTCGCATACGGGCCAGCAGGTGGCGTGCTGATTAAGGTGCGTTGGTGCCCCAAATCCCTAGAGAGTGGAGGAGACGGGATTGTGGTGTGGACTTCCCCCTGCGGAGTGATTCTTCAATTCCCTCTCACTTGTTTCTGACAATCATACGCACCTTACTGCAAAAAATAAAAGAGAAAAAAAGGGGCCAGCAGGTGGTGTGGTGGTTGGGGTGCTGGACTCCCACATGGCTAATCCTGGTTCAAGTCCCTGACCTGGCAGCTTGCTTTTTCACTTTTTTTGTCTCCGTCCCTCTGGTGAGCATATGTGCCCTGTACCAAATAATAATAACAATAAATAAAATCAAAGAAGGGGCCAGCAGTTGGCGTAATGGCTATGTCGCTGGACTCCCATATAGTCAACTGCGGTTCGCATCCCGGATCTGGTGGCTTAAACCATGCACCCAAGATCCCGGGAAGAGAATGGAAGAGAAGGGATTGTGGCATGGCCATCCCCCCTGGGGGGTGATTTCTCGCTTTCTGTCTCTCTGTCTCTCTCTGTCTTTCTGGTGAGTGGGCTGCAGAGCACTAGCCTGGGTAGAGGTAAAAGGCCTAAAGGACCGTCACATATGGGGTTGGGGCTGGCAGGTGGCATGGTGGCTAAGGGTGCTGGACACCTCTCCCCCCCAAAAAAAAATTAAATGAAAGAAATAATAACTTTTTTTTTAAGAGAGAGAGATTTTTGCTATAGGGTGTGTATGCTTGCTGGAGAGAGACAGAGACAGTGAGAAATCACCTCCTAGGGGAATGATCACACTGCAATCCTTTCTCTTCCATCCTCCTCTTGGGATCTTAAGCATCCATGAACGTGCTGTGAGTTCTAAGCCTCCAAGTCTGGGCCTCAAACCATAGTTGACAATGTAGGAATCTAGCGACGTATCCATTATGCCATCTGCTTGTCCCAGTAAATAATTATTTTTAAAAAATAATTATTTTATTTAACTTTGTTTATTTATTTAAATTTGACCAGAGAGGGACAGAATGAGAGAAGGAGAAAGAGGGAAAGTAAGAAAGCAAGCCACCTGGTCTGGGACTCGAACTGCAGTCCGCCATGTGGGAGTCCAGTGCCTTAACCACCACGCCACCTGCTGGCCCCACCCAGTAAATAACTTTCAAAATAATTAAAAAATAAAAGAGAACAAAAGGAAAAAGGATAAATTTACTTATATATGTAAATATATATAATCGACATATGCAAATATAAAAATTATTACACATAAATATATCAACGTTATATATAAACATACATGTATATATGTGTGTATATATGTACGTGTGTGTGTAGATAGATGCCATGTCCTTTCTTTTTTATTTTTAAGAATTATTTTATTGGGATCAGCAGGTTGTATGGTCGTTAAAGGCTCTGGATTCTCCCATGGCGGATTGTCCTTGAAGTCCTGGACCAGGCGACTTGCTTTCTCCCTTTCTCTCTCTCCCTCTCCCTCTCTCTCATCAAATTAAAACTGATAATGACAAACGAAATGAAATAATTCTTTTAGAAAGCAAGCGGCCAGGTCCACCATGTGGGTGTCCAGCACCCTTAGCCACCATGCCACCTGCCAGCCCCAGCCCCATATGTGACGGTCCTTTAGGCCTACCCAGGCTCGTGCTCTGCAGCCCACTCCTTTAAGCACCGCCCCTTGTTGTAAGCCCCGCCCCTTCCCATAAGCACCGCCTCTCCAGGTTCATGACAGAGGGTCCTCTGGCCCCGCCCCTCCATCAGATACTCAGTCCTGGCCTTTCCTTCCTTCCCTGTCAACCTCACCCCTCCCGCACTGTTCAGGTCCAGGAACTTCAGGGCCAGCGGCAGGACGAGGCCATGAAGGCCGAGAAATGGCTTTTCGAGTGCCGCAACTTGGAGGAAAAGTACGAGTCGGTGATGAAGGAGAAGGAGGTGAGGCTGAGGTCTCACCCCCCCCAAGCCCCGCCCACCCTCCGACTCCCGGGGAAGCCCATGTCCCCAGAGGCTGAGCGCACCCCATGTGGCCTCGTGCACCCTGTTCCCGCAGCGGCTGTTGGCAGAGCGGGACTCCCTGAGGGAGGCCAATGAGGAGCTGCGCTGTGCCCAGCTGCAACCGCGGGGCCTGACCCAGGCCGGTGAGCTGAGTGGGGCCCATTCCGGTGCCTGGGAGGGGAGGCCTGGAAACTTCCCAGGCCTGGGTGCAGGTAGGGCAGGCAGAACAGGCAGGAGGCCTGGCTGAAGCGGAAGGAGGTGAGATGGACAGAGAGAACGCAGGGGGTTCAGGGTGGGGCCAAGCACCTAGCAGGGTGTGGCTTGTGTCAGGTCAGGTTTTTGGTTGAACTTGACTTCCCAGATGGTCCTTAGAAGGAGGACCCTAAGGTGGGTCTGGATATGCATAACCTAAAGACTTTTTTTTTGGGGGGGGAGGTTTTTGCTATAGGGTGCGCGCGCTCGCCAGCCAGACAGAGAGAGACAGAGAGACAGAAAGCGAGAAATCACCCTCAG